TGAGAGGGTTACCTGAAGTAAGGGGGTCTGCAGCATGTGAGCCGGTCCCAACCAGTGGCGCTGTTTCAAGAGGAAGGTGCGAAAGCGCATGCAAACACGAGATGCAAGCAAAGTACACAAGACATGGCGAGGCAGGCAAGGGGTTGAGGGAACTTAGCTGGCAGATGGAGAACGTTCGAGGGAGCTGTTGCCTCGTCCCTGCTCCCCTCCTCCTCCAGTGTGCGTCTCCTGTTGAATGCCAAGTGACCTGGTAGGGGCAGCAGACAGGGGGGGAAGTAACAGTGGTTGAGTTGGCATGACCAGGAACAACAACAGCTGCAGCTAGAAGAAATGAGAAGGCGAGATTGAGGAGCAGAAAGTGAGAGCGAAGAGGGTAAGAGGGGAGGTGACGTACCTTGAGAGGCCAAGCCCACCCCGATACTCTCCCTTGGTGCAGCGATTGGCAGTGCTGCCTCCCTCCCATCCCCATGGGTACCTGCACGGCCACAGGGGAGGGGCGTGGGGAAGCGTCGGTGTTGACCCCCGCCCCTCCCCTCCACCTGCAAGGCACACACGCAGAGCTGGTCAGTGGGCAGCGAGGGGATGAATGGTGAAAGTGCAAGAGAGGGAACGGCATTTGCAAGGCGGGAGAGGGGAGGGGCCACTGGTGGAGGCCAAGTCACAAACTGCAGACCCAAGGGCTGCACCTGAGGGGGTACCTGCACACCTGCACCTGAGGGGGTACCTGCACCTGATAGGATTACCTGAAGTAAGGGGGTCTGCAGCATGTGAGCCGGTCCCAACCAGTGGCGCTGTTTCAAGAGGAAGGTGCGAAAGCGCATGCAAACACGAGATGCAAGCAAAGCAAACAAGACATGGCGAGGCAGGCAAGGGGTTGAGGGAACTTAGCTGTAAGACATGAGGGCGAGCACAGGGCAGCTGCAGCAACACCAGGTGACTCCTTCCCCGGCAGCCCTCCTCCCAGCCTTCCCGTGTGCGTCCCTCCCTGCACGGCCACCGGGGAGAGGCGTGAGGGAATGGCGGTGTTGACCCCACGCCCCTCCCCTCCACCTGCAAGGCACACACGCAGAGCTGGTCAGTGGGCAGCGAGGGGATGAATGGTGAAAGTGCAAGAGAGGGAACGGCATTTGCAAGGCGGGAGAGGGGAGGGGCCACTGGTGGAGGCCAAGTCACAAACTGCAGACCCAAGGGCTGCACCTGAGGGGGTACCTGCACACCTGCACCTGAGGGGGTACCTGCACCTGAGAGGGTTACCTGAAGTAAGGGGGTCTGCAGCATGTGAGCCGGTCCCAACCAGTGGCGCTGTTTCAAGAGGAAGGTGCGAAAGCGCATGCAAACACGAGATGCAAGCAAAGTACACAAGACATGGCGAGGCAGGCAAGGGGTTGAGGGAACTTAGCTGGCAGATGGAGAACGTTCGAGGGAGCTGTTGCCTCGTCCCTGCTCCCCTCCTCCTCCAGTGTGCGTCTCCTGTTGAATGCCAAGTGACCTGGTAGGGGCAGCAGACAGGGGGGGAAGTAACAGTGGTTGAGTTGGCATGACCAGGAACAACAACAGCTGCAGCTAGAAGAAATGAGAAGGCGAGATTGAGGAGCAGAAAGTGAGAGCGAAGAGGGTAAGAGGGGAGGTGACGTACCTTGAGAGGCCAAGCCCACCCCGATACTCTCCCTTGGTGCAGCGATTGGCAGTGCTGCCTCCCTCCCATCCCCATGGGTACCTGCACGGCCACAGGGGAGGGGCGTGGGGAAGCGTCGGTGTTGACCCCCGCCCCTCCCCTCCACCTGCAAGGCACACACGCAGAGCTGGTCAGTGGGCAGCGAGGGGATGAATGGTGAAAGTGCAAGAGAGGGAACGGCATTTGCAAGGCGGGAGAGGGGAGGGGCCACTGGTGGAGGCCAAGTCACAAACTGCAGACCCAAGGGCTGCACCTGAGGGGGTACCTGCACACCTGCACCTGAGGGGGTACCTGCACCTGATAGGATTACCTGAAGTAAGGGGGTCTGCAGCATGTGAGCCGGTCCCAACCAGTGGCGCTGTTTCAAGAGGAAGGTGCGAAAGCGCATGCAAACACGAGATGCAAGCAAAGCAAACAAGACATGGCGAGGCAGGCAAGGGGTTGAGGGAACTTAGCTGTAAGACATGAGGGCGAGCACAGGGCAGCTGCAGCAACACCAGGTGACTCCTTCCCCGGCAGCCCTCCTCCCAGCCTTCCCGTGTGCGTCCCTCCCTGCACGGCCACCGGGGAGAGGCGTGAGGGAATGGCGGTGCTGACCCCACACCCCTCCCCCCCACCTGCAAGGCACACACGCAGAGCTGGTCAGTGGGCAGCGAGGGGATGAATGGTGAAAGTGCAAGAGAGGGAACGGCATTTGCAAGGCGGGAGAGGGGAGGGGCCACTGGTGGAGGCCAAGTCACAAACTGCAGACCCAAGGGCTGCACCTGAGGGGGTACCTGCACACCTGCACCTGAGGGGGTACCTGCACCTGAGAGGGTTACCTGAAGTAAGGGGGTCTGCAGCATGTGAGCCGGTCCCAACCAGTGGCGCTGTTTCAAGAGGAAGGTGCGAAAGCGCATGCAAACACGAGATGCAAGCAAAGTACACAAGACATGGCGAGGCAGGCAAGGGGTTGAGGGAACTTAGCTGGCAGATGGAGAACGTTCGAGGGAGCTGTTGCCTCGTCCCTGCTCCCCTCCTCCTCCAGTGTGCGTCTCCTGTTGAATGCCAAGTGACCTGGTAGGGGCAGCAGACAGGGGGGGAAGTAACAGTGGTTGAGTTGGCATGACCAGGAACAACAACAGCTGCAGCTAGAAGAAATGAGAAGGCGAGATTGAGGAGCAGAAAGTGAGAGCGAAGAGGGTAAGAGGGGAGGTGACGTACCTTGAGAGGCCAAGCCCACCCCGATACTCTCCCTTGGTGCAGCGATTGGCAGTGCTGCCTCCCTCCCATCCCCATGGGTACCTGCACGGCCACAGGGGAGGGGCGTGGGGAAGCGTCGGTGTTGACCCCCGCCCCTCCCCTCCACCTGCAAGGCACACACGCAGAGCTGGTCAGTGGGCAGCGAGGGGATGAATGGTGAAAGTGCAAGAGAGGGAACGGCATTTGCAAGGCGGGAGAGGGGAGGGGCCACTGGTGGAGGCCAAGTCACAAACTGCAGACCCAAGGGCTGCACCTGAGGGGGTACCTGCACACCTGCACCTGAGGGGGTACCTGCACCTGATAGGATTACCTGAAGTAAGGGGGTCTGCAGCATGTGAGCCGGTCCCAACCAGTGGCGCTGTTTCAAGAGGAAGGTGCGAAAGCGCATGCAAACACGAGATGCAAGCAAAGCAAACAAGACATGGCGAGGCAGGCAAGGGGTTGAGGGAACTTAGCTGTAAGACATGAGGGCGAGCACAGGGCAGCTGCAGCAACACCAGGTGACTCCTTCCCCGGCAGCCCTCCTCCCCGCCTTTCCGTGTGCGTCCCTCCCTGCACGGCCACCGGGGAGAGGCGTGAGGGAATGGCGGTGCTGACCCCACACCCCTCCCCCCCACCTGCAAGGCACACACGCAGAGCTGGTGAGTAGGCAGCGAGGGAACGAAGGGTGGAAGTGCAAGAGCAGAGCATGCAAGGCAAATGAGAGGGGAGGGGCCACTGGTTGAGGCACAAGCACAAGGCACAGACCCCCAAGGGGACCTGAGGGGCTGTAAGGCTGTAGGGGGGCTGAACCTGAACATGCACCTGAGGGGTTTACCTGGAATAAAAAAATAGAGGTCTGTGGCTTGCAAGTCATGCCCCAACCAGCGGCGAGATTTGACAGAATGGAAAGAAAGAGAAGAAGCAGAACTAAAATCAACCGAAAGCACTTGAGAGTCGAGGTTGAAGGAGGCGAATGGCTTAGCTGAAAGTTGGAGCAGTGGTGGTGCAGGCGGAGGGGGTGCCTTGATGCAGAGTGGGTGCCACGACGGGGGTTGAAAGAGTGGACCTGCGAGGCAGAGGAGGGGGAGAGAGAGTTAGACAGTGGCAAGTGGGAGGGAGCGGCCGTTGCAAGTGAGAAGAGCGCCTGGCAGCAGTGCGAGTGCAGAATGTGAAGCCCCACAAGAGCCGCTACCAACCTGAACCTGAACCTGCACCTGCACCTGAACCGGGGGGGAGTGGGGCTCTTGTGGAGTGTGGTGGCAGGGGCGATACTGCAACCTCAACCGTTGCTTAGGCCGGTGCTGCTGCCCTGCTGCCCGCCCTTGGCGCCCCCCTCGCCTCCCCCTCGCCTCCCCCTCGCCTCCCCCTCGCCTCCCCCTCGCCTCCCCTCGCCTGCTGCCCTCTCATCGCTTGCTGCTCGCCTTGCGCTGGGCTGGCAGGAAGAGCGGTGAGGGCGGGCAGGAAGGGGAGGGAGGAGAAGGAGTGGGGGGCGTGGAGGAATAAGTTTAAGTCCCGGAACAGGAGGTGGGTGGGTGTGAGGAGTGACAGCTGAAATTGGTAATGCGTGCGTGATGTGGGTATGACATGAGAATGAGCATGAGCATGAGCAAGAGTGCACAGCCAGCCAAGACGATCACACTGCAGACCTCATACGGACGGACAGACGGACGGACGGACGCAGGCAGACGGACAGCTAAGCCTGACGCCTAAGCAAGAGCAGACGCCTAGCTGATGCTAACCCAGACCTAGGGGAAGAGACAGGGAAGTCGGCAAATTCGCCTTGGGCTGGCATTGAGTGGCATGTGCGGTGAGCAATGGAGAGAGCAAGGGACGCGAGGCGTGGCAGGGATGCAGGGTGCAAGCACGATAGGCAGAGAGCAGCTAAGGGCGTGGCACTTAGCTGTGACGAGAGTGAGAGGCGGGAGGCACGGCTGCTCCCCGCCTCCTGCTGACAGGAGCAGAGCACACAGAGAGAGAAAACGGAGAACGGGAGAGGGGTTTACCTCCTTAGCACCTCGAAACATGATTGCAGGAGATTCTATGAGTGACGGGAATTGCAGGAGGCAGCAAGAGGGGCGTGCATGGTTGAATGTGAGGCAAGTCAAGCAAGTAGCCGTACCACTGGAGGCAGGCAGTAATGCTCTTCATGGGTAGCGGGAGGAGCAGCCAGTTGGTGCAGCAGGCGGGAAGAGGTGCGCTCCAGGAGACCCCATGACAGCACGGCGGCCCTCCAGGCGCCACCTGATGCTCCCCACGTAGCAGCTGCAAGAGCAATGCACAGAGACAGGAGGAAGTCGTTAGCCACTGATCAAACACAGACCAAGACACGGTGGAACGCCAAGCTGAGACACTATAGGCGGCTGTAATCTAGACGCGAAATCGATTCCCTTCCCCCCATATGCGTGAGTCTCAGCGACTAACCTTGAAATTCTGTCATGCTTGATATGAACGGATGGCGAATCGCCATGCTTGATGCGAACGGATGGCGAAAGGCGAGGGGTGGACCACAGGACCACGGTGTGCTTGAGCTGCCTGCACGGAGCGAAAGAAATGCGAGTTAGCTGACGGAAATTCGCGACGGCAGCTCAACGGGAAAATACACGAGGGAACGACACGGAAACCGGAAACACGCGACGGAAGCTCGCGGCGAAACGTACCGGAGAGGTTGACAGACGGAAGGCGCAGCGGAGACTCTAAACCGCTGAAATCGCATCTTCTGACGGCGAAATCGTTGCTTCTGACAGAGAAATGATTCTGCTGACGGCGACAAGGGTCGCTGACGCACGAAACCGCCAAAATTGTTGCTGACGGACAATCGCTAAGCTGACGGACGTAAATTTTAGCGCCGAAAAAAATCGTCGCTGACGGCGGAAGTGCTCGCTTCTAGCGGCGAAAGCGGTAGCGGACTGTCGAAACCTCAAACAACGACCGGAATGATCGCTGTTAACGGCCGAAACAGATGATAATGAGTGCCATCGTCACTGGTGCTGATGGGGTTGCTGACATTGGAAAAGACAGCTCGAGGCAGAAATCGCAGATCACGACCAAAATCGCTGCAATCAGCCGGGATAGCTGCTGACTACCGACATAGCTGCTACAACGAAAATAACCGCGGACGGACGAAATCGTTGCTGAATTCTCGAGGCTTGCCGGCGATGCTGTCAAAGTGAATTCAGCTAATCGGCGATGTCGCAGCTAAGAGAATACGAGCGTCGGAGCCCAACAATGAACAGGCGAACGGCTGGGAATGGTGCATCCATCTGCTATGCTCAACGCAAACAGCCAGGGAAATTGGGAATGGCTGGGAAGACGGGAAAATATGCCACAAGTAACGAACTTAAGACTCGAAAACGTAAATGGTACCAAAAAAACGCGTACGGTCACTGTATCGGGTTTCCAGACGGGTTTGGTAAGTGGGGTCACGGATTCAGTCATTAACAACAGGTAAAAAATCACGCGAATGGTCACACATGTAACTCCCGCCAAAAAAACTTGAAACTCAACAAAATTCCCGCTCGCCCCCAACCAATCTGCGAACTTGTAAAAAAAAACTATAAGGGCATTTATCTTAGCGGTAACACTCATCGGGGTCAATCTCACGCGAGGTAAGCCACGTGTCAAAATCGTAACAAAAGTATCTTCTGACTGCCTACACGGTATTTTCTTGATTAGGGATTACGAAATCAAAATGAAGCAAAGTGCTAGCACTTATTGTTTTCCTTTCATTTACTTGTGGTCAAGTTATATACGTGAAATTAAGACATAAATGCTACAATGTGAAGCAAATATCCATCTCATTTTCCGTTTTGCCGAGTCATACAGGGTACGTACGGTGTACAGCGCGGTTGTTCTGACGAGTTACCAGTTTGGAGTTCGGAATGCACTGTTCATTACCAGTCTGGAAATAATGCTGACCAGGTTGGCAATGTAGGTTACCGTGTAGGCAATCAGAAGATACTTTGGTTACGATTTTAACACGTGGCTTACCTCGCGTGAAATCGACCCCGATGAGTGTTACCGCTAAGATAAATGCTAAACCCAATCGGAATCGGATGCGGTTCGGGAACGGATCAACCCTAAACACCTGGCTAGTTACGTGTTAGGGTTGATTCATCCGAAAATGCACCCAGATTCTTTTTGGGTTTCATTTTGTTTTGGCGGGAATTTCATCTGTGACCATTCGCGTTTTTTTTTTACCTGTTGATTGTGACTGATTCCGTGAAACTCTTTATCAGTCGCGTGAAAACACCCTTTGCAGTGACCGTACCCTTTATTTTTTTACCAACTGTGTTATCGAGTCCCATGAAGGTTACGAATGGCATATTTTCCCCTGGGAAGAGTCGGGGTGGCTGGCTGGGAAGGAGGGAAGGTTGGGATGGAACTGGGGGCGGACTTCCAATCGAATGTGTGCATTTCGTTTGGCAACACAGAAGTTCGAGCGGTTGGATTCGGTTTACAAGGACGACTGAAAGGTTCGATAGTCTGTTGTGTCGGTTTCCTCGTCTGAAGATCTTCCTCTCCAACAGGGGTTTCTGCTCAGCGCAGGGCCATGCCAGCCAATCCCTATGTTGGTTCAGCGGCAGTTGAGGGAGCGGCGGTTTTGTGCTTGCGGCCCAAAACGAGGGCGGAGCGCGAGTTTGTGCGCGAGTGCGTGGTGGCTGCGCTGAGTGGCGGAGCGACTCCGCTACTCACGAATGCATGGGCGAAAGAGTTGTTGGCTGGTTATGAGAGGAATTCCCCCACAGTGGTAGGGCAACACTGTTTGGCGAAACTCGTAATCTTCGCCACATCGGTCGAGAACGACCGTTGGCTGGAATCCCGCGGGGGTGCGGAAGCGCTCTCCCGAATTTGACTGACACATCACTGGAGCCGCGCAGCGCCTAGAGGGTTTTGCGGACGCTGGGGGTAGCGTAGATTTGGGAGTTCGCGGAAGACTCCGCCAGGAGTTTCTGACATTCCTGTCACTCACTCGTATACACCTAATTCAGAAACTTACTGCGGGTACTAACGATGACACAAAATAACTTACACAAGGGTAATCTCCTAAAAAACATTTATACAGTAGCAGCATCTGAAACGTTGAGATGTGAAGGGACATTGAGGCCGTATATATCCTACAGTGAGGTCGATTATGCAGCCATCCGAATCCACAAGCGAGAATGAACTGAGCTGGAATTTCATAATCTCATAGACCGTATGGCTCATAATATTCTATAGGGAGAAAGTAAAAAGGCTATCACTTACCAGCATTCCTCAAGCCTCTGCAATGCCCTCCTCCTCAGTTTGCGCAGGTCTCACTCTTTGTCTCTCCTCAAAGGCTTTGGGTGCAGAATCAGCCACGGCTTCAAGCATCTCCTTAACAACTATTCTAAACCGCACCGCCGTAGCTTGTACAGGGGACGAAAGTCGGGAGGCACACTCACCCCACTCCGCTACACCTTCGGCAGGGCATGACATAGATGAGGCACAGTGGGAGGCGGAAGAGCAGGAGGAATGGCCAGAGGAACAGGAGGGGGAACCACCCACCACATCCCCAGACCCCGCTTCCTTCTCTTGCACACCTGCCTCGTCCCCACTCGCCCTCTCTCCCCCTTCCCCGCGCCTCTTCCCCTGCTGCTGGGAGCACCGCAGATGCTGCCACAGCACCCCTCGGTCCCGCGCAAGAGACGTGGGGAAGGCGTCAAGGAGCTCTCGACACCTTCTGCCCACAGCAACAAGAGCATTATCCACATCCATCACCCACTCCTCCTCACTATCCTCCCAATCCACCCCTTCCAGCCATCGCTGCACCGCTGCAAACGCCCCTAGAAGCCTCGCGTCCACCCGTGCATCCCGGTACACATACAGAGGCATGTCATGGGCTGCTGCCCCTGTGGGGTCGTCCACCCCCTCGTCCCCCTCCCCGTCCTCGTCTGCTTTCCCGTCCCCGTGCGTGCTGCTTCCGCCCTCTGGGGTTACTCTGCTGCGTTCCACCTCTGCTCCTTCCAAAGCCACCTGAACATACTCCTGAAACTCGTCGTCCGTTGGAGGGAACGAGTGCATGGTGCCTGAGCGCGTTTGGTAGTACCTGGTGGCTCATGGGGAAAAAGTGAGTGGGGAGGAGGGTGAAGGGAAAAGAAGAGTTTTAGAATGGAATGGGACTGGGAGGGATGGAGGCAATGGTGGGTATGAGTATGGCGTGCAGATCAGCCAAGCATGCGAGAGCAAGCAGGCCGGCAAGTCAGGAATCATACTTGTAGTTCGCAGCGTCAAATGCACCACCAACCACGTCGCCCAACCCCTTAACGCACCTCTCGAGGTACCAGGTCACAGCCTGGGTTATGTCTTGGAACACATCTACCCTGTTTTTGTGGCGCCTCAAAAACAGACTCATCGCAACGCAACTTATCAAACCCCCTCCGCAACGCACCGCTGGAGGTACCAGGTCACGGCCTGGGTCATATCCTGAAACACGTCCACCCTGTCTGCAGCGTTTTCAAGGCGCCTAAAAAATCACCTCAAACAACACACCTCTGGAGGTACCAGGTCACGGCCTGGGTCATATCCTGAAACACGTCCACCCTGTCTGCGGCGTTTTCAAGCGGCACGAAGCCATAGGTGAGCAGGAAGTGGTCGGAGCTGTACTGGCCATAGTCGGCCACGAGGGGTGCGCCGCGCGCTATGGGGTTCAGAGCCACCAGCTCCAGCCGGTCCTCATGCAGCCCTGCTGAGTACCAGTCCACGTTCGCCTGGGTGGGGGGTGCGTGCGGGATGGGGGGAAGGGGGAAGCGTTGGCTTTTCAGGCGATTCACAAGTATTGGGCCACGAGGGGTGAGCAGTGCGCTATGGGGTTCAGAGCCACCAGCTCCAGCCCTGCTGAGTACCAGTCCACGTTCGCCTGGGCACAGAGGGAAGGGGGGGGAGTGCGTGGGCGGGGGATGGCGGATGGAGGATTAAGGGTTGCAGAGTGCGGGTGGGGAATGTTGGATGCGGATGGAGGATGGGGGATGGAGGATGGGGGATGGAGGATGGGGGGATGACGGATGGGGGGATGACGGATGGGGGAATGGCAGATTGGCGGGGCGGTGGGGGGGTGATGGATAGGAGATGACAGGTGGGGGAGCAGATGGCAGATGACGTGGAAGAGAGGGAGGGTGGGGGGTAAAAGAGACTTTGGGTTGCAGAGAAAGGGCGTGGGGCTGCGATGAAGAATTAGGCATCATGCTGGTAGGTGTACTATGGTTGGGTGGAGTGGAAAGAAGAGAGCGAACGATGGTAATTGTTACACTGCTGCGACAGGATGCAACGTGTGCTGCTACCATGCTGGATGACAAAGGGCATACCAAGCAGGGTTTGTGGTTGAGCACGTAGGTTACAGGGAGGATGCATACGTAAATCAGTAAGGTGACGTACCTTGTAGGGGTCATGGTTGAGAAGGTCTGCTACTTGCGGGTATGCGTGGCGTTCATGTGCACATGCATGGTTGTGACGTACCTTGTGTGGGTCGTGGTTGAGAAGGTCTGCTACCGGGAGGAACATGCGCATGAGTGCGTCGGTGCTGCCTTGGTGGCAATGTGCGGGTATGTGTACCATGCCATGCCATCCATGTGCACGTGCAGTGCATGGAAACGCACACACGCATACGCATGGGGACATACACATGCAACGGAGACACGCACAAGCACACATGCACACACACACACGCATGCAGCCCCCATCCAGCCACCCACACTCCCCCTTGCACCACCACCACAGACACACACACACACACACATTCATGCCATAAAGAGGGGTGAATTAGTGGGAGGTCGTTTTAAGTTGTGGAAAAGGGGACATTGGAGGAAGAGCACAGGGAGGGAGGGAGGGAGGGAGGGAGGGAGGAAAGGAGGGAGGGAGGGGGGAGGGAGGGAGGGAGGCGGAGGGCGTGGAGGGGGGAAGGAGAAACGGGGAGAGTGAGGAGTGGGGAGGAAGGGGGCGAGTGGGGAAGGATTTTGGGGAGGAAGGATCAAGAAAGAGAGAGCGAACGGGCACAGAACATGCGGATCTGTGTGCATAGGAGATTGACGCATATTTGATCATTTTCAATGCACCAACTTCAACTCATGCACCCAAAACAACTACATCTCCTCACACCCACACACCCGCATCTCCTCATACCCACACACGCACATCTTCTCACACCCAAACACCCACATCTCCTCACACCCGCACATCGACGTATCCTCAAACCCACACACCCACAACAGCGACCACAAAGCCACCCCCACACACGCCCACCACTTCTCCATCCACCTACCCATCCACGCGAGGCAGCGAGTACGCATGCGTGAACACCATGGTAAGCGCCCATGCAAACTCCGGCCATGTCGCATGCGCTATACCGCCCTCCCACTGCCACCCACTCTCCCTCTCCCTCTCCCTCTCGCTCTCCTCCTGGCGGCACATCTGCCACTGCAGCCGTGCCTCCTCCAGCATTGCTCTCATCCGCCCCACCGTGCCCTCGTGCTGAATCTCCCTCTCCCACTCCTCGCCCTCGCTCAGTCCCAGCCACGGCAACCCCGCCCACCGAGGCAAGCACCGCAGGTACGGCCATGCCTTACCTGCGCTGCCCTGCGCGTGCAAAGGGAGGGATGGGGGGAAACCCGGTGTGGAGGGGAGGGGTGGGCGGAACGAGGGGTGGGAACAGGGCGGGGGGGAGGGAGGCCGGAGGTGGTGTGCAGGAGGAGAAAGGGGAAGGAGGACACATGGTTTAGGAGAAAGCGAAGAAGGGGGGTTGCATATGCTTCTCATTAGGAAAGAGGGAGTGTTGGTACCCTCATGGCAAATCACGCAAGCGACCCCCTCCACATAAGCACCGAGGGGCAAGCACAGAGGGGCAAGCACAGAGGGGCAAGCACAGAGGGGCAAGCACAGAGGGGCAAGCACAGAGGGGCAAGCACAGAGGGGCAAGCACAGAGGGGCAAGCACAGAGGGGCAAGCACAGAGGGGCAAGCACAGAGGGGCAAGCACAGAGAAAGGAAATCAGCCTTTTCCACCTCACTGTGCTGTTCCCGGAACTTGCTTCGTCCTACATCCAGGATTCGCCTCACCTTGCTGTATTCCCGCAGGAGCTTGGCTGCCAGGTGCACAGTCCACGGCGCATCAGGGTACGGAAGGGGTTCGCTCTCTCCTTGCGACTGTTGAGGCGCCTCAAAATTCCCGAAGCTTCATCTCAAGCCTCACCTTGCTGTATTCCCGCAGCAGCTTGGCTGCCAGGTGCACAGTCCACGGCGCATCAGGGTACGGAAGGGGGTCGCTCTCTGCTTGCACCAACGCAGCTGAGAAACGAACGGTCGCGATCACCTCTCCTCGAGCCAAATAGCGCGCTGCGCGAATCCCCCTTTCGCCCATGCTCTCCTCTCCCCCTTCCGCCGGTTGCGCTTCCGCATTCTCCCCTGGTCCTTCTCCCCATGTCACCTGCACCTTCCTGGAAGGACCCGTGAGCTGCAAGGCGGTGGGGGAACGGGGTGGGGGGGGTTGGGGAAGGGGAAGAGGCGACGGAATAGGTTACAGGAAAGAAGCGTGAAGATTGAAGGAGCGGAGTGAGGTGAAGGAGAAGGGAAAGAAGAGTGTGGTGCAAGGTGGTATGAAGGCCTAATCGGGCGGAAATACGACGAAGAGCAAAGGGCAAAGGCAGAGGACAAATAGGGTGCTTTCGAGAATTCTCAAAAGCACTCTGCAACTGCAGAAGTAAAATCGGTGAGCTGAAGTCTCGTTCTTACTTCCTTAGCCCCATTCGCGACAAGGTACGATATGAACTCGTTGAACTCGTCGCCGCTGCACCACCATTGGTCCGCGACGTCGTCGAAAGTCGTTGCCGTCTCGTTGCTGGTGCTGCTACTGCTACTGCTACTGGAGCCACTGCTGCTGCTGCTGGCCTTTTCAGGGCAACCAGCAGCAGCACCGCTGCGGACAAGGGTCTTAAGGAACTCCTGTTCTTGCTGCCATTTCTCCCGCTGCTGCTGCTGTTGATCCGCGTCGCTGACGTCACCGGATTCTACCCATTCTCGCTTCAAGTCCGCTGTGCTCACGCCGTCAACGGCTAGGCAGATGCTGGGAGCCGGCCGGTTAGCCGGCTGACTTGACTGTGCGGTTAATGCAGCTGTGACGGCCAGGTGAGGAACTAGACAGAAGAAGATGCTGATGAGAGCAAGCGCCATTGGATAAGACGCACGAAACGAGGAAGCCCAGACGTCGAGACGCGACGACTGTGAAGGAAAATGCGGAGATCTAGGACAAAGTAGGAGTGGCGCCATTGGATCTGATCTTCTTGCTGTCGTGACTGAGATTCGATTCGTATCGAACCGGATGGCCGTTCGCAGGCCGAAGCAAGAACGTGCACTCTGCGACGTCAGTAATGGCGGTCTTGAGCGCACCAGCGACGCTCCTCGCACGTACTATGGCGCATTCTCGTTTTCGAATCAATCTTTCCAAAGATCGAACAAAGCGTTTCAGATACAACGCATTCGCTTCGTTATAACAACGTCCCGGTTGCCACAGACGAACAGCACGCGCTGGAGGATAAAGGCTCAGAAGAGATGCACTGCTGGCAACCAGCAATGAGGCAAGTGCGGCTTGCGTGGGCGGAAATGAAGGCGAAGCAGAGGATCGATCACAGGCGCAAGGATGGGTGTTGATGGAGCACGGAGAATTACTGATCTGACGACTTCCGTTGGTGCTGCAGGCTGTCTGATGGATTCAAATCCGGATTCGACGTTCCCTACGGTATTTGAGGACGCGTCCCCTCCCTCGATCGATCGCGAGATCGCTGCGGAAAACCGATCGGGCACACCGATCGCAGGATTGGGGCGGGATTGGTAGGAGGTGACAGTCGCGGATCGATCGCGAGCCCTTGGTGACAGGATCGAAAAATTTAGGGGGGGAAAACTGTCGATCCTACAAAAGCCGAGATCGGTGTGGCCAGGAAGGCACATCGATCGTCATCAGTGGAGGTGACAAGATCGTTGAGCGCCAATATACTGTACATTCGCAAGCCTTCTCGAATTCTGGTTACCCTGTCAATTGCGACACTGTACCTGTCCCTCGATCGATCTAGGGCAGGTTCGATCGAGGGAGGGGACGCGTCCTGAGTTCTGCGTGGGCTCTGATTTGTTTGGGGGGAATGTTACGAGGCGAAAGTCCTTGGGATTGGGTCGATTCGATCACGGATGCGAAAATGGGTTGAGCAAGGTGGAGAAGCTTATCCGGTGGTACATTTCCTGACAAAATACCATTTTCCCGCAAAAGGCTTCACGCACGAAGCTTCAGATTCCACAGCTCATTAATAATGGCAGATGAGATGCAAATCATCGCCACCTGATGCCCTTCTAAGTCATCAAGACCAGCTAGGTAGCGTTGGCAAGTGTTCCTATCCATTTACATCATTCAGCAAATCTGCCCGCTATTTGGACAGAACGCAATGAGGCTGGCTGGTACGATGGGGGTAGGAAATTGTAACTAAATGGAGGAGACCTGTGAAGCCACTCAGGCAAATCTAGAAATTAGAGACCTGTGGCATATTGGAGGCTGCTATTGCTGGCTGCTGTGGCTGATGGTGGCTGACTGGATGCTGGGGATGCATGCCTTGTTGCTGCTGCTGCTGGAACTGCTGGGGGTTTTGAGCCTGTGCTTGCTCCTGCTGTACTGGCTGAAATTGTTGTTGCCGCTGCTGTTCATATTGCTGTTGCGGCTGCTGCTCAAAGTGCTGAGGTTGCTGTTGCTGATACTGGTGTTGTTGCTGCTGCTCCTGATACTGGTGCTGCTGCTGCTGCTGCTGCTGCTGCTCCTGATATTGGTGTTGCTGCTGCCCCTGATATTGGTGTTGCTGCTGTTGATATTGCTGGTGCCGCTGCTGTGGAGGGAGTGGTGGTTGCTGCTGCTTCATCTGCTGCTGAAACTGCTGCTGATGCTGTTGGTGCTGCTGCTGGTATTGCCCATGTGAATGTTGCTGAGGTGGATACTGCCTTTGCTGCTGCTGCTGCTGCTGCTGCTGCTGTTGTGGTCTATGGAACTGAGGCTTTTGTGAATTGAGCTGTTGACTGTGCTGGCCCACTCTCCCTAGAGAGTCGTGCGAGCCTCCAGTTCGATCAGAAGAAGCCTCTTTCAGCTTCCTGCCCCCACAAAACACCAACACCACACACACATAAAGCACACACACACACACACACACACACACACACGCACACACACACACACGCGCACACACACACACACACACACACACACCACACACACACACGCGCGCACACACACACACGCCCACACATAGCAAAGGGAGGGGGAGGGGGGAAGGGATAAGAACGTGCTTAGCTCAAGCAGTACTTCCTCTAGCCCTGCCAAAGACAATACACATACTAACTGGATGCATGTGCGCAGTTGTATCACTCCGGGCGTGAGTGTGTGCCCGGCCGCGTGCGAGGAAGGAGCAGGGGGGGGAGCAAGGGGAGTTGAGAGGAAAGAGCAAGGGGGGAGCAAGAGGGGTTGAGACGTTTCAGGACAAGCCCAGGCCAACGTACTGCATACATGTCTTACTTGTTACTAGGGACCACGGCGCCTTTGGGATGAGCTTCCCAGCCAGGATGGTTCGCCAGCCATCCCGCCAGATTCTTCATCATAGGTGCCGCCTGTCCGCTCAGCTTCCTCCCCTCTGCAGGGTTCCAGACCGTCACTCTCTCCTCGTCCCCCACGTCTCCCAACCGAACCAGGTTCTGCTCAATCTCGGGAACAGCTTCCGGCTTCTTGCGCTTCAGGCACCTGAAATGAGCCGCGTCTGTGCCACACCCAGCCTTCTTGATCACCGCGCACACCTCACACCGCCGCCCGACCACCCTCGCCCTCTGCGCGTCCGGCTTTCTCTCCCCGAAACTCCCCCCTTTCGAGCCCTTCCCGGAGGACACTCCGCCTCCTGCCCCCCCTCCGCCAATCCCCCCCCGGGAGCCGCTACTGGCGCCTGTGAGATTGCTCTGGCCCATGCGAGCACTGGATGCGGAGAGGCCTCCATTGCTCGTCGCGACATTCACTGCCGGGGGTGCAACGTCCCCGCTCTCCCCCACGCCTTCCTCCCCCACAAGCTCCAGCCAGCCATTCTCGCCTTGCCTGGTCCCGGCTGCACCTATCGGCGGTTGAGTGCCTTGCTGCTGCTGCCGCTGCTGCTGCGGCTGCTGCTGATGCCGCTGTGAAGGGTACACGTTATTCTGTGCGGGCCCCGCTTGCGTGCCTTGTTGTTGCTGTTGATACGCGTTGCTCGGATCCTGCTGCTGCTGATATTGCGGCTGCGCCTGCCCCTGCTGCTGCTGCTGCTGCTGCTGCTGCTGGATTTGTCGCACCTGCTCTAGAGTGTATCCAGCGGCCAGCATCTGCGCGCGTTGCACGGCCTCCACGATTGCGTTGTTGGCGCTCTCCAGAAACTTCTTCCCGTACTCCGCGTACTCGGGTCCGCGGCTCAGAAAGGGCTCGCATATGGAATTCAGATCCGCAAGCATGTCGGGAAGGGTGTACGCGGTCGACATGGCCTTGGCGCGAATAGAACTGCGCGGAGGGGGGGACAATTCAAGGGAATAATTAGGGAGGGAGTAGTGAAACGAAGGATGCTTTTGAGACGTCTCAAAAGTCGGAAGCATGTCGGGAAGGGTGTATGCGGTCGACGTGGCCTTGGCGCGAATGGAACTGCGGAGGGAGGGACAATTCAGGGCATGATTAGGGGGAAGGAAACAAAACGAGGGAAGAACCCGCACGACATGGCGGATTTTGCGGAAGATAGATCGGTACGGGAAAACGAGTGAGGGTTGGAGGCGGAAGAGAGACGGGAAGGAAGGGACCAAGGGAAAGAGAAAAGCGCAGGTTTTTGGAGAGAAAGGATGGAGAGATCCCAAATCAAGGGTCCTTGTGAAACAGCATCATAAAGGACAACTGATGCTCAGATTCACAAGAAAAGGTCGGGGGCATGGGAGTTTGCGCGTGGTGGAAGAAGGCCACTGATCAATCCGAGTGGATCGAGTCGACGCGGTTTGGATCAGATCAGAGGTAGCGAACGTTTCGATCCAGGAACGAAGCGGCCGACGACGATAAAACCTGACGAGAAAAGTGAAACGTACGCTAGATTGAGTATCGTTCCTTGATCGGATAGTAGTATCCCTGGCTCTAGAATGACTTTCATGGTGTCTAAACGAGCCATATCCTCCAATAGCTCCGTCATCTGCTCCGGACTAAGCTGGACCGGAACTGCTCCATCTTCCTGTGGAGGCTCTCCTTGCTGCTGCTGCGGAGTCGCCTGCTGCTGCTGCTGCTGCTGCTGAGCGTACTGCGTTGCATGGACGGTCTGTTCCTGATAAGGCTGGGATTGGCTATCTGGCTGCTGGTAGCGTTGCTGTTGCGAGTAGTCTGGAACTGACGGTTGGTACTGCTGCTGCTGATATTGCTGCTGCTGCTGCTGATACGGCTCCTGTTGCTGCGGTTGCTGCTGGTGTTGAAAGGGCTGTTGATGCTGGTGCGGCTGGTCTTGCCGGTATGGTTGTTCTTGCTGTGGTTGCTGCCGGTACTGCTGTTGTTGCTGTGAATACTCGACGGCACGCGCTTGTGATTGATCCGTTGCTAGCTGTTGCTGGTTTTGGTAGTTCTGCTGATACGCCTGATTTGATGATGGCTGATAACCAGCCTGCTGGGCTGACTGATCTGTGTACGGCTGCTGCTGCTGCTGCTGTTGTTGCTGCTGGATCGGTTGAGCATGGACTTGATACTGACTTGGATGTGATTGGTCATGGTACTGATAATCTGGTGCTGACATGATTAATTGATGTTGATTAAGGAGTACGGACGCACAGCTACGGCCGGAAATGGCTACGCGAAACACGAATGTCCACCTCGCGGTGCGAGATTAGCAGTTTCTACGATGTCCACTAAGAAGAACTAAATGCGCGATAGCGAACACAACAATCACTGGTCAGGATTGGACAAGTGCAGGACTAATTAGTTCATCACCATTTCTTCGAAGAATTCAGAAACCATGAGTTCATAATACACGATAACCACCAACTATTCCGACCTGATCGATCAGGACTAGATCAGGTGAAGGGTACGGCGTTTCCCATTCCTAGGATGTTCAGGAGCGCACACTGAGGGCGGGGTGGATGGAGGGCCATTGGGCATGGCATGAATGGCATCGATTTCGTACGGTGAAATTATGGAAAACGGAGAGGTCAGACAGGTTCGGGGGGAAATCTGCGTCCAGTGAGATCAGATGATGTGGTGCGGATGGGTATGGGTAGACAACGCTGTATGCCACATGATCCATTCGCATCCCAGCACACGGGCATGAAAGCAGGGTTCATGGTGGTGACCGTGGGTTTCAATACTGAACAATATGAGTTTGGAGGGCTATGTTATTTGCATGCCGCTGGTATTTCGGTCAAGTGCGCGGAATTTCAGGATGTACACTGGGACAGGCTAGTTTCTTTCTGCGATACTTTGTCCGTGTCACAACCAGGTCAGTAAGTACTGTAACTAGCTTTGAGGGCGCTGACGGGAAATATTGAAGGCTTGTGCCAGACCCTGTCAGGCAAAATCCGAAGCGTCCCAAACCGGAAGGTCCGGTGTGGGTGATGTGGTTCGCATGCATCTTGCGGAAATGGGTGACTTGGTTGGTCAGGTATTGCCCTGGTGGATCATGTGGATGGGCTCGCGCAGCCGTCGCCCATGTGGTGGTGGTGGATTGTCCCAACCTCCCAGGTCCTCAGAGCTACGGATCATGGGGCACGATGACGTAGTGGTGAATGTGAGAGCATGATGGTTCTCGAGTTTGGTGGTGGGTGACAGGTGAAAAAGCGAAGCTGTCGAGGCTCGGTTCGGTTGGCTCGGAGAGGCCAAATTGCTGGTCTGGCGTGGATGGTTGGTTGGGATTCACCAAGAACCAAAAACGTCAACGGATGTTCACCTGATCAGGATTCAGAAAATGCGCGTCGCGGAACCGGAAAAACATCGCGCCCGCGGAACCCCAAAATAACAGCGCCAACCCAAACCAAAAAGCTGTCGTTCGGTAATCTTCAAGCCTGAAGTAGAGTAGGGTCCTTGGTTCGCTACGAAGAATCAGGTGGTGTGCCACGAAGTGTAACGCGGTTTCAATGGTCGTCGCCATGCGTCAAGAAATGAAAAGGCGCAGCTGTAAATGTTTCTCGCTCTCTGACCCACAGCACAACCATCCTACATCTTACAGTTTCTAGCAGAAACAGTAGAGCGGTAGAAATATTTTTATTCGTATGATAAGACATGCATACATATTGTCACACACCTAGACCCAACTTCTGCACCTACGTCATGGCTATGTGAAGCTGGTCTAACCTCTCACTACTATTGCACCTGCGGTGCTGTACTGCCGCAGTCATTCTCAGGGCACGGCCTCTTCCTGGTGTGATTGTGAAGGCTCTTTGGCACCGGTCTGCAAGCGCCCTCATCACACGAGAGAACGACTTTCCACCACTTCCCGATGTCGTGCCATTGGTGGTGTTGCTGAGACCCTGGGTACTGCTTTTAATGGAAACACTGCTGTTTGCATCCGGGCTGCTTGCATGGACACGGGGCATGGTGCCAGCAGTCTTGGTGTTGATGTTGTTCTCGGTTCCTATCTCATTGACAGCATCAGCAGAGATGTTAGTGTCAGTGGCGTTGCTGCTGCTGTTTCTGGAGCTTCCGCAGGATACTGGAACACTGTCGCTGCTGTCACTGCTTGCAGCCTTGTCACTACCCTCAGACTCGGGCAGAACAGCCAAAATAGAAGATTCATCATTATCAGGTCGAGCCATAACGCTGGTTGGAGCACCTCGAGAAGGGGATGGCCCGAACCTCCATCCTGAGACTGGGTCCGAATCTAAACCCGAGCCTGTGCTGCCGAACCCACTAGATGGTCGGAGAGAGAATGTCCCCGACCCACCACTACCTTCCAGCAATCCCCCGGAACCTCCAATTATCGAGGAAAGAGCAGCAATTGTGGATGCAGAGCGCGGGCGAGAGAAGGAGCCATGCCCATCTGAAGCATTAGTAGGCCCGTTGCCTCTGCTGCGTTCGCTGCCACTAGTAGTACTGCTGTTGGTTGCAGCACTGTGAGCAATGATGTGCCGCCTGTCACTGGAAGTGTTGACTTCCTGAGCCCTTCGCATGTGCACCGAGGGTGGCAGTGGCATGTGGTGGACGGCTGCGGGCGGGAGCTTATGATGCACAGGAGGGAAGCCATAGATATGCGTGGGGTGCCGGGGCTGACTTGAGTGGGTCTGACGAGCCATCATGCCCACGTCACCAACGGTAGCACCACCACCGCCGTTGATAGCGGGTCTAGTAACGGAGAAGGAAGAGGTATCTGCGGGCTCGCACGTGATTCCGTAGCGCACTTGCACATGCGACCTGTGCCCGTCGCCGCCGCCGCCGCCGCCGCCACCGCTGTCACCGCTGCTGCCAAAGGCTCCGTCAGTGCCGGCGTCAAATGCGGAGTCGCTGGTGGTAGGGCTGCCGAGGCACGTGATGTCGAGCTCCGTTATGCGGATGTTGGCCGCGTCCAGCTTCCTGCATGACGCCTCCAGCTCTGCAAGGGGGAGGACAACAGCATGGGACACCGGCGAATGGATGCCTTGATTGGACACGGCGAGGGACGCAATTGGACGCGGCGAGTGAGGCGCGGCGCGGGACACGATTGGGAGCGGCGCGGGACACGATAGGACGCGGTTGATGGAATTGCGAAAATAACAAAACGGGCACGTGCGGAGGTTCACTCCTCCAGCCTACCTCGCCAGTCGAAGGGGCTTGAGAGCTTCGCAGCTTCCTCGTCCGCGGCTGCGGCCGGCATCATCATCATCATCCTGCGCGCTACATTCGCCCTCCCACTTGTGTCGACATCACCAGCTTCAGCGGCAGGGCTAGTATCACCGTTCGTCACGGGTGCTACCGCCGGAATCAAAACACGCGGAACGGATGCAGCTGCGGCGGCCGAAGCAATTGGCGGCTGATCCTCGCAAACCGTCATCATCGTATTCAGTGGCATCATCGTCGACGTGCGACCGCTGGTGGTGATGGTAGTCGAAGCTGGATTGTAGTAGTAGTAGTTACTATGGCGCGAAGCTTGCATCGTCGACGCGGGAGCCCCGCCGCCGTTGGCGCGATAGGATGATGATGTTGCCGTTGTTGATGATTGTGATGTTAATGATGATGTGTCGATGGCGTATTGCTGGTCCATGGCTTCATACCCTGCGTCGTCGTCATGGCAGATGCACGACAATTGTGCCTAGCAGATGTTACAACGCGACGCAAGACTTTCTTTTTTCTTCGCGCAAGAGAATTATGGCAGGGAGGGTATTCGTAGATGCGTTAGACCCTACAACGGAAAAGATGGCTTACATTCATCTGCGTCGTAGCGGTCCGGGCACCAGCTGGAGTAGCGACACGACTGATAGTCCAAATGCGCCGCCATGACACTTCTCAGCCAACGAGACGTGGAGCGTCACGGTAGTAGTGGCGATATCGAAGCGAATGTGCTCAATTCCCCTGGACTTCGTCGCTGTCGAGTGAAAGGCGAAGATGAGTGGGATTGGGAGGGTGAACTTTGCTCGATTGATCGATTTTCGACAAGTGAGTCGCGTTTGCGAGTTCTAACTAGGAGTGCGAAGTGAAAGATTGGAGTCCTGATGAGAACACTTCATGGATGTTGGCTTCGAGGCACGATATTCAAGACTCAAATACGATGTACCCAAGGAGCGCGTGCGACACAATTTACAGGGAGACTGATGGAGTAACTCGCCGCAAGTTGGCTCTCGCCGCAAGCGACGCGAAAGGCTTCTGCTGCAATGCATTGTGACCAGAGCAGGAGGACCTGGATCCGAGTCGACAGGACCGGCCTGTATTGTTGGAGGTTGCTGCGTTGGTGAGCATCACGAATTTTGATTGGCTGAATCGGCTGGGGTGGGAGCTGGGATTGGCTGCGACGAGAGTCAGAATTTGGGGTAGGAATAACAGTCGTAGTGAGCCGAGTCGCATTTGTTCTGTGCATTCTTGCTCCGATCCGATCCGACGCCTTTGGGCACCTCTTGCCACACCACACTGATGTCCTGCTTGTGTGGCTGAACCGAACTGCTGGGCTGGCACTGAATGTAACGAAAGAAGTGAGGTCGGGGAGGAGCCTTTGCGGCACATACGAACGGCGCGATTGAACTGCAGCGATTCGCGTGATGAACGGCCAAAAGGGTCTCTCTTGGAGCTGGCTGGTTGGTTGGTGGGCAGTGCGGCGGAAGGTGGTGTGCTGTACAACCAACGAGAGTGTGGAAAATTGCACCGCTCATGATCCAACAAGAGGGGAAGGGGTGGGTTGGGTGCGGGAAGGAGGGAGGGGGGAGGGTGGGAGGGGGAAGTGCACAGTGAAATGACAATTGTCCGATCGGATCTGACACTATTCAGAATCGCCTTGCCCACTGCACCTCATCTCACTCCACTCCACCGATAATAAAGTGCACTACGATCAGCCGACAGTGAAATCAGTCCCGCAAAGCACATGTCCGGCCTCGTCCGTCGCACATGTATGAGAGTGGGTTGGGGATGGGGTTGAACTGTTTTGAAAAACAGTGTACCATGGTAGGGTTGCTTTCCGGAGGGTGGGAATGTTGACGGGGTCAGGCCTGTCGAAGTTTCTGGGGCTCGTACTTGCGCTCCCCAGCTCCTCCCCATCTGACCCTTGGTTGGGCGTAGGTGCGCGATTGGCGCCCTTTAGGGGCACAGGCGCACCCCGAAGTGAGACCTTGAAATCCGGGCATTTTTGAAGTTTGCACCCACACTGTATTTAACAAAGATTCGTGCAGATATCTACTTCTATTAGAAGTCAAATGTACCTGGTACTACACATGCCTCTAACAGTCATAAAACCTACCTAGCCTGACTGAGACACGCTACACACGGGATTGGCTACAAAACGAGAAGGGAAAAATTCCCTTGGCGCGCTCTAGTGCAGGCTAAGGAGAAAGAGGAAGGGGGGGGAGTCTTGGGCACTCTGGGGGAGGGGTCTTGGGCACCCTGGGGGGGGGGGGGTCCTACGATCTGAAACCTAAACTTAGATAAAGGGGAAGGCCTGGTTTCGTCCCTTAACGCATCCGGGGAAGGGTCGAACGAAGCACTTAGTGGCACGGGTGGGGTGCGAATCTAAAACTTGACGCATTGGAGCTGGAGAAAAACTAGCCCTTAATGTCAGGGCATTAAGGGCATATGCCCGTCAATCGTCAGGCCTGGACGGGGTCCAGGCAAGGTTTTGAGCAGTGAGGACGTACATAGACTGCAGGTTCCACACTTCCATTCCGACCTCGTTTGGCTTCAGCGGGGTGACTTGGGGCTTAGGTCTGGACATAATTCATTTGGTGGGAATGAAGAAACCTTTTCCACCCTTCTTTATGCGCAGTGGAGCATTGGAGCAAGGTTTTAACCTTTTCTGCTCCCAGAACCTTTTCTAGCCCAAGGAGATCCTACATTTCTGTACCATCCGCTCTTGTTGAATGCTGATGATGTTGTTTTCAACAGAGAAAAAATAACTGCGATTAGGCTCAGCAGATTTGCGATGAACTGTACAAAGTACAGTGTTACTGCCAGGATCCACCTCGCATGGCCAGGTTGGAGCAATCGAGCTCGCAAAACACGTGCATGAAACGACACGAGTGGAAATACCACTTGTTACAATCTACAGTACAATGCAGCTTGCAGGCTTGCTCTGCTTGGAGGTGTTGTTGCCCAAGCAAGCAGGCTTGCTCACTGGGGCACAGGCTGGGCGGGTACGTACGTTGCACAAGAGAGGTGGAGAGGGGAAGAGGGGGAATAGAGTGTGTTGCGGGGAAGGGGGAAAGGTGTGGGGCGGGGGCTGGGTAGGCGGGTGAGGGAGGGCTAATGGGCTGCTTGGCATTCGAAGTACGTTATCTTAGGGCGTGTAAAATCGGGAACTCCAAAAATTCGGCCACAATCCGTCGGGCCGTTTCTGCGAAAGTAACCAGTTTGCGACGTTCGTTTCTCAAGTGGCGACAGTCGTTAATTTCGCAAAAAAATTACAAATTTGATGGCTGTTTAGAATGTCGACAGGAAAACGACGCAGAGTCGACTCCAAAACGGCCAGGCAGTCGACACATTGTGCGACAGTTGCCTGCGACGTCGTGCAGTTATGTCTAACGACAGAATTTGTGATCTCGTCAAATGAAAATTATCGTCGTCAACTGTGCGACCCCATCGTACATTCTCAAGTACTGTAGTAACTGCAAATTTTACAATTTTTCTCGAACCGGCCTGCAAAGCGGCCACCAAAGTTGTAAAATCGCCAAAACTGTACTTGGTGGCTGTAAAAGAGTCGACCGTGATTCGGCCACCTCGTCGTTGTTCGCGAAAAATATGACGACCATTTGGTCGTCGGAAACCCGGCCAGACCCCATTTTCAGAATTGCGCGGGGATTTTACACGCCCTTACGTGGAACGAATGAATGCGTCGTAATGGAGATGCCACTGAAGATCTATACACTTCCATTTCTTTGCGTCAACACATCACCGCCATGCCATAACAGCGGAGCACACAAACCAAACCAAGTAAGCTAAAGTTAAAGTTATATTTCTGGTCGTAACCAGTTTAAGGGGTATCCATTCCTAGATGAGCACGTGCTAACCCCTTCTTGGGGGCTGGCAGAACACGCCTGCACGGGGGTGGGTTCAATCCCAGGACCTCGTATATCGGAAGTGCCTCTTTCAACTGACTTCTGGATCATCAAGAAGTAAGCATGTAACGCGGCCCTGCCATTGGGGAAACACGAACATCTTCAAGTGCTATATAATGCCTCCGCTAATGTTTCAACGGGTATGAGTGACATTCACCCATAACTACCCAAGTTCAGTCCCAAATTAGTCATATCTAGGTAGTTAACATGGAACTACTAACCCAAACATTAAGAACTCCATGAAGCATGTGTCTGGCTTTTCCCCTACTCACATTTGAGATCTGTTACAAATCGACATTCCCTGATAATTTTATGTTAGGAATTTTCTCGGCATTCCTTACCACGTACCGGTACGTCAACATCACGTACAGCAGTAGCCGTTGTTCGCCCGTCAACTTCGTGAAACATAAGCATTGGCTCGTACATTGGCTCAATGCATTCGCTCATACTTTGACCTCGTTTTACACCTAGTGCCATCCTCGCTATCTCGTTCCGTTGCTTCCGTAACATCTTACAATAACAACGTAAATGGCACATATTTAATAAATTTGTACCTTCGCACGCAGGTAGATAGTGTTGGTGGGCCCTTGACCTCAATAGCAGAGTGAATGTAAAATGCTTGAGATGAATTAAAACATGCAAATACAGCAAATATAAATATGAGTACAGGGAAGACGAAACGACCTAGATAGCCATCTACTCTAAGGGGTACATTCCCTTATTCAAATACATTCCCAACCGTGCGGCGCGTACAGTTACGAAACTGTTCCCGCCCTTTTCCTTCTGCCAGCAGCTGCCGATGCCATCGTTTCCGACGGTCCAGATCCTCCCAACTGTCTGACGCTTCGAATCAATTCAGACTCTTCAGATTCATTCTCGTTATTGTGTGTTTCCTTAGCTGCGGTGAGGAGTGCACAGTAATGTTCAGACATTACTATTCGTAACACCCCCCTTCACTCCTGGCCGTAGCTTGACTTGACCTGCTTGACCACGCCACTGAGTTCGGAGCAGTGCTGATACTGCTGGCGTGGTAATCGCTTCGCGAGGAAGTCTGTTGCCATGTCACCAATCGGGCAATAGGTCAAGTTGACCTTGCCTTTGTCCACTTTGTCCTTCACGAAGAAATAGTGCAGCGCAATGTGCTTGGCGCGGTTGATGAAACGAGGTTTGTTCGCGATGCGAATCGCGCTCTGGTTGTCGCAGTGAAGACGAAAGTTGGGCGAAGCCGCAATTTTCACCTCGTGCAAAAGTTCATGTAGGTAGAGGCCTTCGCGAACTGCTGCGGTTGCTGCGATGAATTCCTGTTCAGCTGACGACAGGGCAACCAGCTCCTGCTTCTGCGAGTTCCAGGAGATTGGTCCCGTCGGTTCGAGTCGGAACAGGAAGCCAGTCCTGGACCGTCGATTGTAAGGATAAGCTGCGTGATCGGCGATAACGTTGCCGATGAGGTTGAAGGATGGGGTTGAGTAGCACAGCCCAATCTTGGGCGTTGAAACGAAGAACTGTAGGGCGCGCTGCTGGTACAGAAGATTCTCAACCTTTGGTTTGCGTGAGTACTGGGCCAGCTGACTTGCGATGTAGGAGAGGTCTGGCCTGCATGTAGTAGAGGCAAAGAGCAGGCATCCCAGTTGCTGTTGGTAGGTCTGAATTCCAGCGGGGGACAGGGCGTTGATGTCAGGTTTGTGGTTCGGTCCGGGAGTTCGGTTGGGAGTAGAGAGCGGTGCAGGTGATCTGTTGAACCGCT